AGAGAGAGAGAGAGAGAGAGAGAGAGAAGGGAGAGAAATGTTTTAGAAAAATCAAAAAACAAATTTATGTATTTACGTGTAGGGACACCAAAATATGGAGGCTGCAGCGAAAAGATCATAGAAAATGCAACAAAAGAAGCATTGATATACGCTGATTGTTGCGTGGTAAATATATTGTTCAGATTAATATAATATTGACTTATGATAGAATTTCTAAAGATCTTTCGTGTCAATTTACGTATTTCTTTAAAGTTTATTTTTAATTAACAAAATTGTGAGAGAAACTGATAATTTCTAAATTATAAATAATTTTTAAAAACAATTTCTTGCTACTATAAAATAAAATCTTATTTTTGTTATTATTAAATTATTTAATTAGAACTAAATTTTATTTTAATAAATTTATTACTTAAAAAATAAATAAAATATTTTACATCGAAAATTTGTATGTAACACTACTATTGTTTATACTCCTATTATTTCATATTAATTCCTTATAATCGTCTTATGAAACTTAAGATTCCAGTTTATAATTTACAATACAATATTATTAACATTGATTTACAAAGTGACCATTAAGAAGTAGCTCAAACTGAATGGTTATTGTTTATAATGAAACAAAATAAATTTAACATTATTCAGCAAAAAAAAACGTTATTTCATTAGCACATAGTGCAAAAAATATGCATTTACAACTCGTAGAAATAAATATAAAATAGCCGAAAATTGATTGATTATACGATCAATATTTAGGTTTCAGCATGTGCGATCATTTCCATAAAAACAATTTTTTTTAAAGGTACAATTACAGTTATTAATATTAAAAAATATACTTAATAGTTTTTAAAAGTGCTCTCGATTATTATGCAAGTTTAAATAATCATTATAGAAAGTTATTTTAGAAGGTAATTATTAGAAAAATAGCATTAAATACATAAAAAATAACATAAAATAATATTGAGCAATGCAATCAGTAATTCGATCTTTTCTTTAAATATTTATTTTTACAAGTGTAAATATATTCCTTTTGAGCTGTATGCTAATAAAAATGACAAATATTTTCTACAGTATAATGTTTAATTCATTTTGTTCTGTGAACTCGTTAACAAACTAACAATTATTTAATTTTAGCAACTTCCCGATGGTGTACTCAATGCATACATATCACATTCTTATCTTAATTTCATAATCTTACACTCTAACATCGTTTCAATATAACAAAATTACAAACTATATATCCTGAATTCTAATATTTTACTTTACTCAGTATTAGATTCTAATGCAATGCTTTAAAATTTCATTCTTTTGTAATTCGTTTTGATTACAATATTATATCTCTATATTCATCTTGCACTTAATATCCTTTTCTCTTATTGCCCTTTCTCTTTCCTTTTTAACTTTTTCATTATAAGTACTTCTAAAAATTGTTTCCTTTTTCATCTATAATATTTACTTAAAAATTTATCTAATTTGCACTTTTTATATTTTTAAAGAAACTATGAAATAATGTTATATATCATATTTATTAATTTATCTAGAAACAGCGAAGGAATACAATTTGAAATTGAATAATATAAACAATAAAACAATAAATTGCTACAATTTAATATTGTGTATCTACTTATCTCTAACAATAATGATGTACAGTTTACTTTCAATGTTATATTGGCAGATCATTTTTCGAAAATCATTTAAAAAAAACGAAAAATTGATACTTTATCAAATATAATTTTTTGCTTAAAATAATTAAACATATAAAGTTAGGTAAAAGAAACGGCTAATAAAACGAGCAAATACGGATATTAAAATTCAAAACTTTATTACATAAAGAGAGAACATGGAACGTTTCGATCTTACTTGGTCTTTCTCAACCGCAAAAAAGTTATATACAGAAGAAAGAATTAGATTAAGAAACCATTAAAAAGAAGATTAAATCAAGAAAAATAAAAGTTAAATAAAAATTAATAAATGAGTTAGATATAAACAAACGAATAAGAGCCACATTCAGAACGCAGATGCGTTATTAGAATCCCGTTATTAGAATAAAAATTAGCATATATGAGAATGATAAAATCGTTCTATGTCAAAAATTACAGGCCATAAACTCGTTCACCATTTGGATGCAAGGAGTAGAGTCAAGTATAAAATAAAGATCTGTAAACTAAAATATTGTATAAATTGTGATCAAAGTTAAATTAAAGAGTAATAATTAAGAAATAAAAAGTAAAGACTTGAAGCAACATTTATGAAACATTTTCACTTATTTAAAAATTTGAAAAAATCAAGTACAGAGATTGCGTCAGCAGAATGTGACAGAGCTACTTGATTCAAACTTGGAAATATAAGTGAGCACTGTTAGCGATGCGGAGACAGATATATCCGAATGTTAAAATTGTTTTACTTTAAAGGTGTATCGATCGCGAAATAAAACACAGATTAAAACTTATTATTATTTGCGAGTATTTTTAAAATTGTTCTCACTGACGGTAACGGCTTATAAATAAAAAGGATAACACCGTCATCACATTAGGAACTAAGAACAATAAAGTAGGAAATGTTAAGAATACTTACGTATCAGAAGATTGATGTATCAGACTTGATTGTTGATGATAATTGTGAGTATTGAAGTATTGGTTTGAGATAGTTCTGTTCTTACTATTTGCGATATGTTGAACAAATAGAAATAGGGAACTGTCAAGGAACTCACGAGTAACCCTACCTTTCCGTGACTCGCCGAATTTAATGAAACTTGGTACACTTCTAGAGTAGCCAAAAATAATAGACACGTATTTTTTTTATATTTGCAATGGTGCAGATTTAAGGGTGAAAACTACCCCTTATAAACACGACCCTTACAGAAAAAAACTTGTGGCACTATTGAAATGACAACTAATGAATAACTATTAGTGCACACATCAATAATAATTTCGCACACTGTTGGAATTTGCACTAGTAGTGTTAATTAATTACTATTGATATAGTATGTACTAATAGTTACTCAATGCATACAAAATGTACATAACCAAAAATAATTAAAAATAAACAATTAAATAAACGTTTATGAAAACAGAATAAAAATCATTATAAGACTAAAAAAACAATTTACGGTGTTTTCAAAGAGATCATTCCCCTCAAACAAATATTTACATCTAACGGTCACCCATCCAAGCTACGACTGCTCTCAACGCTGCTTTACTTCTTTGATCGAGAACTGTAGACACTTCGTGATGATCCATTATTACTCAATGTTAATGAATATACATATATCCATGATAAATCGTATTAATAAAATTATTTAAAAAATGAAATATTTTTTTATAAATGTTAATAGGATACTGCAGTAGTGTTAAATACTAATAGTATCACTGCAGTAGTGCTGAACACTATTAGTGTCACTAAAGGTATGTTCTGTTTCATACATTATGCATCTGATGTATCATTTTATCCTGGTTTAACATTCAGTAAAAATCAAAAATAAAATGATACATAATCTGCATCATGCCTGAAATGGACTCTAAGTATCATTAGTGTAGTAGCAAACATAAGTATTTACTGCAGTAGTGCTGAAACACTACTAGTACTATTATACACTGTACAGAATGTGCACTATTATAGGTTGGTTTAATATTGCTTCTGCGCACTAATAGTTTGTACTATTCAGTGATTGGTATAAGAATAATATATACTGTTAAATGTTTGCAATAGTGGCTATTTCAGTAGTTCTTACTATTACATTTCAAAAGTTTACACTGGTCAATAGTTAATAATTGTGTAGTGAAAACTACTTATTACTAGTGTTAAGTAATCATCGCAGTAGTATTGAGTATTTATAACTATTGACGTACAATAGTTACTATTAGCATTCCAATAATTACTATTGGCATTCCAATAATTACTATTGGCATTTTAATAGTTTTTTCCGGGGAGTTACGGGGAGTATTTAATTTTTTGCATTTTAATTTATTAGAGCTACTTACTTCTTTACGCTCTTTGACGAACCCAGAAATAATCAACGAGGAAGAGGCGAGAGTCTGTTTCTATTTAGTTTTTTTGTCAAATTATAAAATAGGCCAAACTAACGAGCACTAATAAGACGCTTAAATATAAAATATATAATTTATTCAAAACAAATAAGCGCGGTACATGGTTCGACTTTACTTAGCCTTCTTCTATTAGCCGCAAAAATTAAATAAATAGCGAAAAAATATATTCCATTTCTAAAAAAGGCATATTAAATCGATAGTCGAATCTATCGAAATCTCGAAAGTCTCGAAATTTATTGTTGGCTCTTTTTCGCGACGCTAGTTGTCTCGCTGTGCTTACTGCTTACTTCGTAAGCGGCTATCATTGCATATTTTGACAGTTGCGTGCATTGAGGTTGATGTATAAGTTATAGTCCTATCTAAAAAAGTGCATGTAAAGTCGATAACTCGCATTTCTCGAAATTATTTGTTGTCGCTTTTCCGCGATGCTGATTGGTTGTCTCGCTGCGCTTACTTTGCGTAAGCGGCTGTGACATTGCATTTTGACAGTTGTGTGT